AAGAGTCCCCGACTATCTACCTTAACCATGCTTCTTATGATTTTATATACTTCTATCAGGTCACACCTCAGCCTCCAAACCAGCTTCCAGCCCCTTTGGATTAGTAGTCAGCTGACATTACCACTACACCACTTCTTCCCTATGAAGCACTTTGGGCCATTTCATTTTATGTTAAGAATGCTGTACAAATCCAAGTTGTTGTTGCTTCTGATTTTTAGAAATGTCTTCTAGCCTGTTAAGGGTAGTGACCTCCAAGACCATAAGCAAACAGCAGCCCACTGCACTATTAAAGGTGGGGCAGGTATCAATGCCTCAGGTACTGTGTCAGGAGGCTGCAGGGTCAAACATTTTCTCAGAGACTGCAGCAGATGCCTCCATCTAGCTAGATTAAGGTGCTAGATTGAAACAGCAACAATCATCCGGTCAACAGGGTATAGTACCGAGTATTTGTGTGTCATACTCTGCCTCCACAATACACCCTCCTTTCAAACACCATCTCTCATACTTTCATTGTCTCTTGCACACTCCCTTTCAAATACTGTCCCTCTTTGCTCCTCTCCTACACATTCGCTGTCAAATAATCTCTTTCACCTTCCCTAACAATAATTGTGTTTTAACACAATTACATAGTGAGTAATTTAGCTTTTCTCCCCATTATTCTTTCATCCCAAATTATCCTTGAACTGGGTGGCTTGCTAGGGCCATTTCAGCAGACAGTTAAGGGTCAACCACATTGCCATGGTCTGGAGTCACATGTAGGACATTAGTGAACCAGAGGGGTTTCAACAAATGATGACAGTTGTCACAATTGCTGTTGCAGAGACTAGCTTCATATTCCAGATTTATTAATTTCAATCTAAATTCCTTGTGGGGTGGGATTTGGACCACATCAGAGCATTAGCCTGCACCTTTGGATCACAAGCCCAGTGACATTACCACTATCTCGCTCGCTTCCATTGCCCTTTCCTCCAAACTACACAGTAAACCATCAAGTTTAAAAAAAACCCGGATGCTTTATCATTTTGGACAATGTAACCAACTTTATTTTAAGCTTCCAGGACTGTGACCAATTTTTTTTATTGGAAATTATTTTCTCCTGAGGGTTTGAATGTCACTAGTGGGGCCAGTCACTGCTCACCACTAGGTAGTGGCCTGAGGAGAGATCGTGATGGATTTTCTCTGAACCTCAGACAGGTCAACTCCCACAACAGTATCTGGTGGGAAATTAAAGACATAGGTGGGCTTTCATCCAGTTACCTGGAATTGCGTGCTATATTGGATAATACAGTGCTAAATGATACAGCTGTAGCAGGAGATCATAATATATATGGAGACATAACACGTTTGTGGAGGCAATTTTATACTGCTGGTGATGATGAATAATATTCAAAGCCCATTGCCACATTTGAGAAGTAATATTCTTGTCCAGCTGACCACAAAAACAGACTGTGCAGTCATATGACAATTCCACCACTTCAGAAACTGCAATAAAGGGAAGTTTTACTAGTTGCAGTATTTATTTGCACTTTCCAAATGGTGAATTTCCTGCTTGTTCAACCATCCTGGGGTCATGAGGAGTACCCCCATTCTCCCACCCAGTGGTAAACATTACCAATAGCAGGCCATATCAATAACTGGAAGACTAGTGCCAGTCAAGAACAATTTTATCCATCTCTATGAGCCAGTCCATAGCGGCAACGACACACAACACCATGAAACAGTAGAAAAGAAGGGCCATTACCACAACCTCATTTTAGTTTCTGAATTCAGCGCTCAAAGGCATGAAGCAAGGCCAAAAGTCTCTCTGAAATGGGAGTCACCCTTTAGTGCCTCCTGGTGGCCAGCTTGGTGTATTGTTGGTGGTCTGCGGGCCCTTTTGGCTGACTTACACTTGAAGGTGAGGAGGATTGAGAATTAGTTGAGGGTTCTTATACGTGCCAAAAAACAAATGCTTTGCACATTTCTTGAACTCTCCTTCATAACATTCAGTTTTAGAATTGCCTGGAATAAAGTTAATTCAGTTGTCAATTAGCCCACTATTATAACTGGAAGAAGGACTGCAATGAGAGATGTGGGGCTGCTTTTTATTCACCTCTCATTTCGTGACTGCAGACTGATTACTGTATATGGTCAGGGATGTTCAATGGATATAAAGCAACAACTTGCATTTATACACTGCCTTGGACAAAATAACATCTACTCAGAGCAGCAATTGTCAAAGAACACTCCACATCAAACCACATAAGGGACAGGTTTCCATAAGCTTGACCAGAGATATTAAGCTGAATCTTAAAAGCGGGGAAGGATAGGTAGAGCAGTTTAGGGAAAGAATGCCACAGCTGGGGAGAGGGGGTGGCACTGCCAATGGTGGAGTGATTAAAATCAGGGTAGCTCAAGACACTCAAATAAGAGGGGTGTAGGCTTCTCAGAGAATTGTGAGGCTGTAGACATTTGCCGAAGTAGGGAGAGACACACAATTTGGTGACAAATCATGAAAAGTATAACTCAAGGCAACTCCCAGCATTCGACACCAAAATGAGATATATTTGATCTGTGAAAGATGCACAAAGCTATAACCAAAATCATTCTTTTTACTGTTGAGAAAATATACTTGGATAGCACAGTGGCTCAGTAGTTAGCACTGCTGCCTCACAGCACCAGGGACCTGGGTTTAATTCCACCCTCGGGCGACTGTCTGTGTGGAGTTTGCACATTCTCCCCATGTCTGTGCGTGTTTCCTCCAGGTGCTCTGGTTTCCTCCCACAGTCCAAAGATGTGCAGGCTAGGTGGATTGGCCAAGCTAAATTGCCTGTAGTGTTCAGGGATGTGTAGATTAGGTGGGTTATAGGGGGTTGGGTCTGGGTGGGATGTTCTGAGGGTCAGTGTAGACTTGTTGGGCCGAAGGGCCTGCTTCCACACTGTAGAGATTCTATGAATTTATGAATGCTTTGAGCAGCTTGACTCACACCAAGCAGCACTGGAGGCAAAACAGCAACATATGTACCTTTAGAACCTTACATAGCAAGTCAGTGATCTGGTCATTATCCCATTGCTCTTCTGGGAGCTGACAGTGGACAAATTGGCTGCTGAGCTTCTTATACCACAACAATGGCTACACTTCAAAAGTAGTGCACTGGCTGTAAAGTGCTTTGGAATGTCTTGCGGTTGTCACAGATGCCACAAATAGTTCTCTCCTTGGAAACAACTGTCATTATCTGGGACATATTGTTGGCAATTAATTTGAGTCACTTTTTGAGGTGGGGTACAGGTGGCCCAGGATCAATTATTGGTCATTTCGATAATTGGATCTCTTCCAAAACTGCCTCTGCCCCCTTCCTCATCTGAAGGCAGTGACTCATTAGAAGCTTAGTAGCGCCCTCTTTGAGGGTCAATGGAGCATAGTGGCATCCTCACCCATTGTCCCTCTTCTTATGAGGGATTGCTGGATAGTGTGTGATTGGTGCCAATTGATTATGCACTGTGGCCGGGTACAACACCCCTAATTTAGCCCAGCTCAGGTTATGCCCAGAGCTGGAGACCTGCTGGTCTGTAGAGCTCAATGGCCAATGCAGTTCCCAATTTACCCATGAGGTGGAGCTAAAAGAAAAACCCTCCCTCCACTATTTTTTGTTAATTCTGAATGTTTTTTGTCTTTTTTTTAACATTACAAAGCACTGCATAAAACAGAAACAAACCAAAGTGCTGCCAAGTTGGATGGAAAAGCTGTACAACATATTTGTGACTGCAGAACAATCTTTTCGAGAAAGCAACCTCCACAAGAAACAAAAGCATATGCAAATACTTGTCTATTTATAATCACGAGCATTAATAATAAAACAAAACAGCTTATAAGAACACAATTCTCTTCCAATGATCCAGTTAGAATTTCCCCTTCAACAAACATCATCAGAAAGCAGATTAACAGGTCAATCTAGTTGCTATCTGTGGGAAGCTACTGGCAAAGAACAATTGTTATGTTTACTAACTTAAGTCTCTTGAATCCTCAAAATCATTAATTAGTGTGAACATTTTGACACAGAACAATGTGTCAATTCGTAGGCTGTGTGAACAGATACTAACATAGTATGTCTGTAGGTGACAGAAAACAGTTTTCTTGCCTTACACTGAACTTAACCTTCAGTCAATTCTTGGCATAAACCCTGGCAGTGTAAGGAATGTGACTGCTCATCACATTTGGTTATTTTCCTTCTCTTGCCGCCCCTTTAGTGCAAGAAAAGACTTAGATTTTATTCAAATTGTACAGAATGGTGCTTCAGATGAGAATGTTTTCACCAATTTAAAACATGTTGAAAAATCAGCTTCTAGCCTCCCAAAACTGCAGTTCCAGAACCAAAGCAGACAAATAGAACCTGTGACGCTGAGATAACCAATGTGAGTTATTGGTTATAACTCTTTCGGTCAAATTAACAACCAGAGGCACCTCCGTACTGTACACATAAACACGAGCTCAGGAGTGCAACTATCCAGAGCAACCTGTCAAAGGATCATAAACATTTTTTCCTTAACTCCTAATCGAATCAATCCGGTCTTCTAAGTTCAATTGCGTTGGCTATCATTCTCTTTACGCCCCACGAAACAAAACAGCAACTTCACTCTTGCTGAAACGCTATCAAATGATCCAATTGCAGTCATACTGACTGTAATCTTGGCACCCCAAGTCCATCTTCCAATAAAAAAAAACCTTGCAGCTAGATTCCCCGCACCGATTAAAAGTTTACCATTCCAAAGAAAGTCTACAAATGTTTTTAGACTCTCACCATGACAATTTTTGGGTGGAGGGAGGGATAGAATGTTTCAAAATCATCTTTCAGTTCAGTATTGGAGAAGAAAATTAAAAGCAAGTCGTGAACTTTTATCTTTCAAAAAGAGGTGCTTTTGGGTGTTTGGTTAACTTGGATAGGATACTGAGTTGATGCAGTGTTTAGGGGGGAGGCGTTTTGAACAGATCTCAGCATTTCGGTGTGTTTACAAGTACTTACTGCGGTGTTTCCAGAGTGTGCATGTTGGACGGAGCGGTGCTTCACGAACACGATCTCTTATAGTCCCGCTTCCTCTCTTGAGTCTAGGCTGGTGTCGCTACGTGCTTTTTAAATATCCATATGCAAGTGGGTGGAGCCTGCTGAGTTCATTGCAAAAATCCCCTTTTGCATTGCACAATCGACGGTTCTGGGAGTTAAGAATCTTCTGTGTTTTGGAGAAAGACAAACTAAAAAAAAATTAAAGTGTGAACGTAAAAGCTCCCCGTTCCCGGAAGAGCAACAGAAACGTTTACAATTGATTTAAAGTAGCATAAAGTAGCCAGAATTGCAAACTAAGTCAAGTCTCGCAAACTGTATTGAAATCTGATTCACCAGTTCCAAACGCATTGCTAACGGCTCCTGCTCTTGCTTTTTAACCCTCGCCCAGATGTGAAAATTTTCCAGGGAATCCGTCTTGCAAATATTCAATACTGATCCTACACCACGCCCCCTCCCATACAAATAATGTCCCCGCCTCTCAGCAACCCCCACCGTGCAAACCATACACTCACAGGAGCCCTCGATGGATACCGTAAGGACGACACTGGCCATCCTAACTTTCAGTAGCTTCTATCATTGAAGTTTTTGTTCTTCACATGTATAATGGGAGTGTGTTGTGACGCAGTGGCAGTGTCCCTGCCTGAGAGTCTGTGTTTGAATCCCACCTTAGGGCAAATATGCCACGGAGATCTGTCATAACACATCCAAATAGATTGGTTTAAAGAAGTATTAGGAACAGGAGTTGAATCCTCTCCTCTTGGAGCCTGGTCTACCTTTTGATAAGATGGTAACTGATTTGATTGTTCATTTTCCAGTCTGTACTCCTTGACTTCCTTAACTGCAGATTAAATACCTGTCATAGAGGTCTTAGAGCTACACAGCACGGAAATTGACTCTTTGGTCCAACTCGTCCATGCCGACCAGAGAGCCTAAACTAACCTGGTCCCATTCGCAAGCATTTGGCCATATCACCATAAACCTTTCCTATTTTGTGTACCCATTCAGATGTCTTCTAACCAGTCTCCACCAATTCCTCATTCCATACACATCAACCTCTTCATGAAAAAGTTGCCCCTTAGGTACCTTTTATATCTTGCCCCTCTCACCTTAAACCTATGACCTCTAGTTTTGGACTCCCCTACCCTGGGGAAAAGACCTTGGCTATTCACCAAATTGATGCCCCTGATGATTTTACAAACTTCTATAAGGTCACCCCTCAGCCTCTGACACTCCAGGGAAAATAGCCCCAACCTATTCAGCCTCTCCCTATAGCTAAACCCTCCAACCCCAGCAACATCCTTGTAAATCTTTTCTGCACCCTTTCAAGCTTAACAACATCCTTTCAGTGGCAGTAAACACAGTATTCCAAAAGTGGCCTAACCAATGTCCTGTACACATGCACTGACCAATGAAGACAAGTGTACCAAATGCTTTCTTCACTACCCTGCCTACCTGTGGCTCCATTTACAAGGAACTATGAACCTGCACCCCAAGATTTCTTTGTTCGGCAACACTCCCCAGGACCCTGCCATTAAATGTGTAAGTCCTGCCCTAATTTGCCTTTCCAAAATGCAGCACCTTACTTTTATCTAAATTAAGCTCCATCTGCCACTCCTCAGCCAATAGGCCCAGCTGATCAAGGTCCCATTTTACTTTGAGATAACCTTCTTCACTGTCCACTACACCACCAAGTTTGGTGTCATCTGCAAACTTTCTAACCATTCCTCCTATATTCACATCCAAATCATTTATGTAAATGACTAAAAGCAGTATACCCAGCACAATCCTTGCGGCACACCACTGGTCACAGGCCTTCAATCTGAAAAACAACCCTCCACCACCACCCTCTGTCCCACCTTTGAGCCAATTTTGTATCCAAATGGCTACCTCTCCCTGGATTCTGTGTGATCTAACCTTGCTAACCAGCCTACCATGCAGAACCTTGTCGTACAGCTTGCTAAAGTCCATATAGGCAAAGTCCACCGCTCTGTCTTCAATCTTCTTTGTCGCTTCTTCTAAAAACTCAACTGTGTTAGCGAGACATGATTTTCCATGCACAAAGCCATGTTGACTATCGGTAATCAGTCCTTACCTTTCCAAAGACATGTAGATCCTGTCCCTCAGAATTCTCTCCAACAACTTACTCACCACAGACATCAGCTCACCGGTCTATAGTTCCCTGCCTTTTACCTACCAGCTTTCTTGAATAATGGCACCACATTACCCATCCTCTAGTCTTCTAGCACCTCATCTGTGGCTATCAATGATAGAAATATCTCAGTAAGGGGCCCAGCAATCACTTCCCTAGCTTCCCACAAAGTTCTGGGATACACTTGATCAGGTCTCGGGGATTTAACCATTTTTATGCATTTTAAGACAACGAGCACCACCTCCTCTGTAATATGAACACTTTTCAAGAAATCTCTCTTTATTTCTCCAAGTTCTGTAGCTTCCATATTCTTCTTCACAGTAAATACTGACACAAAATACTCGCTTAGTATCTCACTGATCTCCTGCAGTTCCACACATAGACAGCTTTGTTGATCTTTAAAGGTACATATTCTCACCCTAGTTACTCCTTTATTCTTAATGTATTTGTAGAATCTCTTTGAATTCTCCTTAACCCTATTGGCCAAAGCTATCTCACGTCCCCTTTTTGCCTTCCTGACTTCCCTCGAATATACTCCTTCTGCCCTTATATTCCTCCAGGGATTCACTTGATCCTAGCTGTCTATAACTACCACATGCCTCCTCCTTTTCCTTGACCAGTTTCTTTTCCATCTCACCCTTAATAATATTCAATGGTCCAGCCTTGGCTGCACTCTGGGAAGGGAATTCCAAAGATTAACAACCCTCAGAAGAAATTTCCCCTCTGTCTTAACTGACAGACCCCTAATTTTTAAACTGTGTCCCATAGACTGTTTCTAGATCTTGCAACATCCTCTCAACGTCTACATTGTCAAACTCTCTCAGGATCTTAAATATTTCAATAAGATCACCTCTCTTTCTTCTAAACTCCAATGGTGTAGGCCCAATGTGTTAGACCTTTCCTCAGAAGACAACCCCTTCATCCCAGTTTTCCAATATACAGCAAAATTTGTTTTAACCAGCACCTTATGACCTGGCACTTTCAATAAACTGGCAAAAATTATATATCTCAAATACCAGAGGTTTACCGTATTATCACAATCTCTGCAATATCTGAGTAGTCAGTTGAGGGTGCAAGTGAGAATGCTATCTGCTGTTAAGTTTTATTTAAGGCAAAATGATTTATGCTGTAATAAAATGTAACAGTGATGTGTATACCCCTACATTACATTTCTTTTACTTAGTATGTGTTTTTACACTGACTTTATGGATTTTTTGATAAACTGGTGTGTTTAAGTACACTCCTGGTCCCATAGGTGCCAATTAACAAAAGGTTTGCTGGATTAAGAAGTCAACAAATTTGAAACTCCCATTTTATTTAGCACTAGACCATAGTTATGAGAGGGCACCTTGTCTCACTGAAGTTCTGGAGTGACTATTAGGCTTTTGCAACTAATTACAGATCTGGCTCTGAGGAGCAAACACATATTTACTGACCTATCCCCTTCCTAACTCCCTACCTACACTCACCTTTACTGGCTCCATCCTCGCCTCTTCGACCTGTTTGTTTCCTCTCCACCTATCCTCTCCTCTAGCCCTCTTCTATCCGCCTCCCACTCTCTCCCTATTTATTTCAAAACCCCCTTCCCCTCCCCCTTTTCTGATGAAGGGTCTAGGCCCGAAACGTCAGCCTCTCTGCTCCTATGATGCTGCTTGGCCTGCTGTGTTCATCCAGCCCTGCACCTTGTTGTCTCGGATTCTCCAGCATCTGCAGTTCCTACTATCTCTGACCCATATTTTAAGTGCTTTGCCAACATTCATAGACACACAAGCAAAGAATGGCCACTTGGGGAAAACTGATATTTCAGGAGTCACCCATGGAATCATACATCCACCCTAAAGGGTCAACAACTTCATAAAAGAAAGCATATAGCTTCTTCACAAAAAAAGGTATTGAATCCTGTTAAGTAATTCCAAACAACAGAAAATGATTCGAACATAACACCATTGTTACAGAGATAGTAGGAACTGCCAATGCTGGAGAATCTGAGATAACACAGTGTAGAGCTGGATGAACACAGCAGGCCAAGCAGCATCAGAGGAGCAGGAAAGCTGACGTTTTGGGTCGAGACCCTTCTTCAGAAATGGGAGAGGGGAAGTGGATTCTGAAATAAATAGGGAGAGGGGGGAGGCGAATAGAAGATGGATAAAGGAGAAGATAGGTGGAGAGGAGACAGACAGGTCAAAGAGGTGGGGATGGAGCCAGTAAAGGTGAATGTAGGTGGGGAGTTAGGGAGGGGATAGGTCGGTCCAGGGAGGACGGACAGGTCAAGGAGGCGGGATCAGGTTCGTGGGTAGGAGATGGGGGTGGGGCTTGAGGTGGGAGGAATGGTTAAGGAGGCGGGGACGAACTGGGCTGGTTTTGGGATGCGTTCGGGGGAGGGGAGATTTTCAAGCTTGTGAAGTCCACATTGATACCCTTGGGCTGCAGAGTTCCCAAGCGAAATATGAGATGCTGTTCTTGCGGCTTTCAGGTGGCGTCATGGTGGCAATGCAGGAGGCCCAGGATGGACATGTCGTCCAAGGAGTGGGAGGGGGAGTTGAAATGGTTCGCGACTGCGAGGTGTAGTTGTTTGTTGCGAACTGAGCGTAGGTGTTCAGCAAAGCGGTCCCCAAGCCTCCACCTGGTTTCCCCGATGTAGAGGAGGCCACAACGGGAACAGTGGATACTGTATACCACATTAGCAGATGTGCAGGTGAACATCTGTTTGATGTGGAAGGTCTTCTTAGGGCCTGGGATGGGGGTGAGGGGGGAGGTGTAGGGGCAGGTGTAGCACTTGCTTTGGTTGCAGGGAAAAGTGCCGGGGGTGGTGGGGCTGGAGGGGAGTGTGGTGCGGACAAGGGAGTCACAGAGAGAGTGGTCCCTCCAGAAAGCAGATAAGGGTGGGGAGGGAAAAATGTCTTTGGTAGTGGGGTCAGATTGCAGATGGCAGAAATAAAACCAAACTATTTGGCTTCAAGAACTAAACTATAATGTGTCAAAATTCTAATACCTTATCAGAGAAGATGATGAAATGTGTCAAGAGCCTATTAATTAGCATCTTTCTTATCATTCACTATCAGGCATAAGAATTGTTGGAACAGGAAAAGGACCTATGAGATAGCGACTGATGAACAAATAGAGAATTCTGGAGAAACATCTTTACCCAGAGATGGCAAGAATGCAGAATTTGCTGCTGCAGATAGTAGTTGAGATGAATGTGTGATGAGTGTGTATAATGTATATTATACTTTTGAATTCTGATTTTGAAATAGTAGGAAGTAGACTTTGATTAGATCTGTGAACATTTTTTCCTTATAGGTCAGAAAATCAGTTTGGAACAGTAAGTGGCATACATATTTTCTAAGAAGGCATATGACTTAAGCCAACTTACGAGCACACTCTTGTGGTGTTCATGGATAAAGTATTTATGCCTTTGGGTTTTCAAAAGACAGTGTA